AGTTCTGAGTTTTTTTTGTTGTTCTTTGGTTGTTTGTTTTTTTGTTTCATGTCGTCTTGTGTTTTCCCTCTGATGTCCAGGTGTTCTGCACTTTGCATTCATCGTTTTTGCCTGTTTCATAGCATTTCTTTGCGGCTCTGACGCCGACTTCGATCTCAATTGCGAGTTGGCAACCTTCTCAGAGGGTTCCGACATCATCTTTTTTTTTCGCGGTTGGCGACTTTCATCATGTCGCAGGACCGGGGGAAGGATCCGGTAGACTCGCTCACGACCGCCCGACAAGGTCATAACACGAAGACGTTTGACTCACCGTTCAAGGTCTACCCGACAGTCGACGGCAAGCTGGACGACCCGGTGTGGCATTTCGTGGCCAGAGGGCGTTATTTGGATGGGTCGACGGCGGCGGGCAGGAAGAGCGGTCGTCGATGCCTGTGCAGGTTGTGCGGGCGTTCGATTTGTGGGGGCGCTAAAGCCGCCAAGGAGCACTTCTCGAAGAGCGAGAAATTCCGATGTGAGGCAGCCACTCCTGCTGTGTGGAATGCGATCTGGTCGAAGGACATGACAAAATGTCCAAAGGAGTTCGCGTCGGCCATAGAAACGTTGCAGAGCCACTTGCCAGATCATCCGAGCTTGCAGTGGCCACCTCTTCGATTCCCCGAGGACGCAGTGCCGCCGCTGGTTCCTCCCACCGCCCCGTCTGGAGCCGTCGCATCGCCCAATTCTGGGGCTCCGGCCATTCGAGTCACGGTACCGCATCCTGCAACAACAGTTGCAACACGACCGGCAGCCCCGCCGTCTGTGCCGCTGGCTGGGACACGAGGTGCTCGCAATGTGGGAGTTGGTCGTTCCACGCCAGCCAACGAGCCCCCGCCTCTGAGGGATGGTGTGGGCTCTGCGGCATTTGACGAGGAGAGCACACGTGCATTTATTGAGAGTCACAGGTGGGGGGGGAGTGCCAGCAGTTCAGCGCCCGCGCTCGCCCCTGTTTTCAGTAGTGCTCGGCAGTCAGATGCCGCACGGGGTGGTACTGCGGTGGCACCTGGCGCATTACCCCGGAGTTCGTCAGAGCACCCCTGGCTGCCACCGCCACCGTCGAGAGCGGCGCAGCGTCCAATGGTCCACCACGCTCACGGAACCGCCCACCCGGATCCGTCACACACACCTGCAGATGCTCGACATTCTGCTTTCGTGCCTCGTTTCGAGGAACAGGTGGATCATGGGGTGCCTGCCGAGGAGGTCCCCGCTCCGGTGTCAGATTCATCGCCGACCCCTGTTCCGACAACCAGGGGCGGTGGTCGGTTTGCCCCACAGCCTCCACCCGTGTTGACCGGAACGTTAGACCCTTTGCAGCGCATTCGTGACCTTGCAGTCGCCCAGAGGGCGACACCTGTGAGCCCTGGCGGGTTGTTGGATGCTGGGGTCCTCGGCGGGAGAGCTACAACTGGACGATGTCGGGGCACTTACAGGCAGCAAGCCGTCACGTCATATTATTCGGACCCTTTGGAGCGCGCATGGCATCTGCAAATCATGCGGTTCATCGTCAAGAGCGGGATGTCGTTCAACAGCACGAAGCTTGAAAGCTTCAAACGCGTGTTCACGATGATAATCCCGCCGGGGGTTCCAGGGGTGCCCGCGCCTAGACTTCCCTCGTACCACATGCTGCGCACGACCCTTTTGGACGAGCTGGATGGTGAGGTCCAGAAGTGTGTTCGGCCGGTGCTTGACACGTCGAGAGAGACCGGTTGCACAATCATGACCGATGGTTGGACCAACATCCGTGGTCAGACGTTGTGCAACTACCTTGTTGGTACAGAGATCGGGGTGGTGTATGTGTCCACCGACGTCATGCGTGGCAAAAAGGACGCCAGTGCCCTCGCGAACGCATGGTTGAAAAGGGTGAAGTCCATGGACGTTCAATT